CAAGGTAATCTGATTACAATTAAACAATAAGCTTTCAAAATCGAGATACTACCCTTTGATTTTGCGTATCGATCACAACCAAAAGCTCCTGTTCTTCTTGAAACAGTTGTAGTGGCTTGATCCCTTTTTATTTATATGTGTGTTTATTGGTAGCATAAAACAGAAATCAAAGTTCTTCCCTTTTAAATTTGTATTTCTGATGTTGGGATGAAGATGGTGATGTTAGGATGAAGAGGATGATGGGGTGATGGTGGGTGTTTTATATGCAGGTTTTAGTGGTGTACATATAGAGAATGGGTGATGTTAAGGCGTTGTTCGGTGGTTGGGAGGAGGAAACTAAGTATTCGAAAATAGATGAGTCCACCACTTTGGCATGGATCTTATTCGGTGGTGTTCAGATTCGTTTTAAAGCTCCTACCAATTTGTTCTTTATAATCATCGATGATTAATGGGTTTTTTTGGTTATGAAATCAATTTTTTGGGCTTCTTTGTTCATTTACTCTTCCGAGATTGTGATTAATGGTTCTTTTTGGTTTCTAGATATGTACGAGACGTGGTTTTCTTTGTAGAAAATGTACAATCTTTAAATTTTGTTGATGGTTGATGATCATTGTGGATTGTTTTAATGGTGATGGACGGCGATGGGTGGTGGCAGGAGCTGCTTCTAAAAAAAAAATAAAGACAGTTGACATGGATTTATAGATGTGGCTACAAAAAAAATATTTACAAACTGATTATTAATGACACATCAGCAAAGTGACCGGAAAACCTTTTAAATTCAGAAATAATGGTATAATTGGCAGATCAATAACGAGTTTAATGGTTTAATGTGCAAAAAAAAAAACATTTAATTACTAAATCGGATAAATGACAAAAATTTAATATGTTACAGTGATATTATCTCTTTACATAGTTTCTAAACTATTTATTTTAACCTTACGGTTTAAATATTTTTAAAAATAAGCTATACATAGGTGTGTCATAAAGGTGGAGTTGGTGTAAGGTTTTGACAATAACTGTACGCACCTAGATGTACGATTCTTTTATGAGATTTTTAGTTGTTTATAGCATTGGAAAGCATAAATAAATAAAATAACCTAAAATATTAATTTCTGATATGAAAGATGCTTTTGGATTCACGTGTCACAAAATGAATTCGGTCGTTTCAAGATTTTTTGTTAATCCATAATCAATTACTTTTTCTTTCTCTCTCTTCTATGATTAACCATCGATTGCCACAAGATCTTCTCATTAGTTATTCGTACTTTTAAGACTTTTTTTTTTTTAAATTCCACATTCAATTAAAAAACATTAAATTACATAAAATAAAACTTAATCTATTGGTGATTGACTTACTGAGTAGTTATTTGATACTAAATGGCTTCTAGCCCAGCGGTATCTGGTGTTGTCTTCCCTCCTTAAGATTAAAGATCCAAATCCTATAAAAGATATAAATGGAGAATTAGGAGTACAATAGATTTTTTTTTCCAAAAAAAAAAAATATATTTGATATTTATGTTCCTGAAAATACCTTTCCAGATAATATTTACCAAAAAATAAGTGTATTTAATTTTCTTATTTTTTATTAGCTTAAAGTGTCACATCCCTTTTGTGTACATGAACAACGACCTCTCGTGGGTCCATAACTCCATATCCCTTCAAGGTTGGATCATTTTTTATATAAGAATGTTTTGCATGAGTTATATTAATATTATCATTTTTTAAAAATTCAAGGTAGCATTAAATATTTGCTTGTTGTAATAATAGGAAAGTTCTTATAGTTAGTCATACTGAATACTCAATGTATACTTTATGTATTTATTTATAAAACTATTAGGTGTGAGCAACATGTTATTACATGTTACCACACTCAAAAAGTGTCATGTGAGCATCATACTCATATACAGGTGATATAACACCAAATGTGGAAATGAACAACATCTAATAACATGTGATAACACCAATTATTATTATTTTTTGATGTTTTTTTTCTATATTTCGAATTTGTTTTTTTATTTATTTATATTTGAAAAGTAAAAATAAAATTTCAATAAAACTTAAATTAAAAACAACATTAAAAAAATTAAAACAAAACACAAAAACATTTAAAACCTAAAAAAAAGAAAAGATAAAACCTACATTTCTTGGCCTAAAACTATTCATCTTCATCTTCGTGACCAACATAGACGTAATCTGTCAAGTCGTAAGGAATTGCTTGTGTTTTCGCTGATCTTGAATATCAACCACTCTATGTAAATATCCCGATGTCCTTGGTTGAAATTGCACATGTCTTGGCTCCGTATGCGAATACGTTGCAATATTGTGTCATTTATCTTCTACAACCATGTTATGCATTATGATACATGCATACATGATATATCATAGAGTATCTAACTCATAAGGTCTCGCCACATGTTCAACTATGTGCCATTTTGATTTCAAAACCCCAAAAGCACGTTCAATGTCCTTACGTACTCCTTCTCGTCATTTCTTGAAATATTTGTTCCTTGGACAAATTAGGTGTCGAAACGCCTTCACAAACGTGAAATATTATGGATATATTCCGTCTGTAAGGTAATACCCAAACTTATATTCATTTCCATTCACTGTGAAAATGAGCATCCAGAGCTTTTCCTGACAAAAGATCGTCAAATATTGGTGATTAATCGAGAACGTTGACATCGTTGTTAGAACCCGCAACCCCGAAAAAAGCATGCCAAATCCATAATCTTGTGAAACAACAACCTCTAATACCAACCCAGGCGCTCCATGATGACCGTTCGAATACTGGCCTTTCCACGCCACGGGGCAATTTCTCAATTTCCAGTGTGTGCAGTCAATGCTCTCAAGCATACCCGGAAACCATGTCTTTCTTCATGCGCCACATATAGTTGTTGCATATCATGCAACGAAGGTTTGCGTAAGTATTGGTCACCGAAGGTTTCGACAACACCTCTTGCCAATAATTACAAACTTTCTCGTGCGGTCCTCTCAGATATTTTCATATAATCGTCAACAGAATCTGACGATTCCCCCATTACCATAAGTTTAATTGCAGCAACACATTTTTGCAACATTGTGAAGCCTCGTTTGCCTCTAGCATCATATCTCATTTGGAAAAATCAATACCTAAATAAATATTAAACATGTAAAAATTGTATTTATTTTATCTAAAAGTGACATTTTATAAATTATAAAAGTTGAAAAAAACAATACATAAATAAATATTAAATATGTAAAAATTGTATTTATTTTATCTAAAAGTGACATTTTGTAAATTATAAAAGTTGAATCAAACGATACCTTGCTTCCATAGCGTTGACTATCATTTCAAAGACATTTTTTCGCAAACAAAATCTTCTTTTGAAATCGCTTGGCTGGTAGATACAATTTTTCGCAAAGTAATCGTTAACTAGCCGTCTATGCCCTTCCTCATGATCTCTAATTAACGCCGCACATCGCGTGAGTAGTGGAGTTGGATCTGACTATAGTAGGTTGTCTGTATAATATCGGTACATCATACTCACGAACAAATCGTCTTCGTCGTTATCATCGTTGTACGGATGGACCGGATCAAATTGATCCATATTTTGGTTTTGAAATATTGAAAGAAATATGTAGAGAAGTATGTGTTTTGTAGGTAAATATAATATAGGTTATGTGATAGTATATATAAAACTTGATTTTTTTTTATGTTACCATTTGTTTCAAACGGTCAAATCTATAGTCGTTGAAGCAAAAAACACAAGAAATCACATACGTTACATCCCGTTATGGTCATAACGCGTTATACCATAACACCTAATAACGGCTAGAGGGGCGGTGTTCCTCCCTTTATGATGCAGTTATTAGGTGTCATGTCACTAATAAGGCGAACCCTCTTGTCCACACCCGTCTCTCTAATCAAAAGATTTTTGATAGAAAAAACTTTTATTTTATGGACCATCATTATTTACTTTTCATTGCCGACAAGACTACTGTCTTTTAGTTTTAAATTCAACAACACCATGGTGTGTAAAAAAGTTATTTTAGACGACAAATATAAAATAAAATGGGGTTTCAGCTTTTGTTAAACGTGCAAAATTGTTTTTTTTTTTTTTTTTTTTTTTTTTTTTTGTTTTGTTTGGGGGGGGGGGGGAATTACAAAGAGTGTTTAAATATTATTACAATAATTTACATAAAACATTTTTAATGAAATGTTTTTTACTATAAGTTTATTATTTAGTGATTAATACCTGAAGATGCACCCGAAGGTGCGTCACAATGGGTTCTAATCGTAAAAGGTACGTGGTTGATTTTTTTTAAAACTATTATATACTATAAAGTTAGGAATAATAATAGTAATAATTTTATATTTTGTTTGTTGCTTAAAGCATCGACAAAAAATATATGAGTTATTACCATGAAAACCACAAGTTTTACACCCCGATTCTAAATTAGTTCTAAATGATTTTTTTTTGTTTCTAATTAGCCTAAATAATTGAGACGAAAACGGCCGCATCAAAAAGGGTTTTCAAGGGTTTTCATGTAGTTGATCTTGAGAAGAAGGGTTTGAAAAGTGTTTCTAACACCATTAAAATACACTAAACTATAAAGGTATGTAGATGCCAATGAGAAATTGATGTGTATGTGTGTTTTTGTCTTCCATAATCGAGTTTCATAGTATTATTAACAACTTTGGTTTTTCATCTTGAACGTATGGCTTCCTCATCTGGAACTAAAAAAGTCAAAGGGCCTGAAAAAGTTTATGTAAAGGACAAGGGTTTTCAAGGGTTTTCATGTAGTTGATCTTGAGAAGAAGGGTTTGAAAAATGTTTCTAACACCATTAAAATACACTAAACTAGAAAGGTATGTAGATGCCAATGAGAAATTGATGTGTATGTGTGTTTTTATCTTCCATAATCGAGTTTCATAGTGTTATTAACAACTTTGGTTTTTCATCTTGAACGTATGGCTTCCTCATCTGGAACTAAAAAAGTCAAAGGGCCTGAAAAAGTTTATGTATGGGACAAGGACTGATGATGATCTTATAGATTTCTCCTTCCTGGATTTTGCACTAGAGACCTTTAAACCAACCTCAAACCTATCTGATGACCCATTCCTTAACATATTATGTGATGAAAATATGCTAAGGAGGACTGTTGATGGAATGGTAGATGATGGTAACGAAGTTGGTGTTAAGGAGCTACAGCATGATCATATTGATGATCAAAATGATTGTGAAGTGGGTGTAGAGTATAATTTTCATGATCCATACATCCATTGGAAATAGACGAGACATTTAATGGGAGAGTGTTATGAGTCCCCTGCTCAACTCAGGTTTGCATTAACTAACTATACAGTTGCTAATGGATATCAGTTATGGTTTATGAAGAGTGATAGACATAGATTCATTGCTAGGTGTGGGAAAATATATAAAAAGACGCATGTCCTTTTAGAGTTTATGTTGCTTGGAAGTATAATGAATGAAAATTACAGATTAAATCCATATGTGACATACATCAATGTGCTAGGAATTATAATTTTGGATGTTCGGTTAGTTGCAACTGGTTAGCCAAACATTACTTGAAGTATATAAATATGAAGCTAAAGATGACATTGACTGAGATGAAGGAAAATGTACTTAGGATGTTTTCAATAGAAGTATCTAATAGGCAATGTCACAGGGCTAGGACAAAGGCAAGATAGATGATAGAAGGTAAGTTAGAAGAGCATTATGCAATGGTATGTGACTATGTTGCAAAAATCCTCAGGTTAAACCCAGGTAGCACTAGCAAGGTGGGAGTAGAATCTAATCCAAGTGGCATGAACTATTTCAAAAGGTTTTATATGTGCTTAAAGGATTTTAAGGATTGTTGGAATATGGGTTGCAAGCATGTGATAGGTTTGGATGGTTAGTCAAAGTCAACGGTCGAAATCAAAATCAAAGTCAACTACAACAGGTCGCCACTATGTGGCCATCCTTGGCCACGTTGTGGCCACTAAAAAACAAAACAAACGGGCCTTGACCAAGTCGCAATGCCATGGCAACATGAGCCACGTTGTGGGGACTGGTCTGGGCACCTTAAACCAGTCACTTTCCTTTCCAACTTCAAGGGCTCTAAAACTCAGATTTGGTCCTCTCTAAGGTCCAAGTGGATAAAGTTTCCAACTTTATCTCTTTAGACCCTCCAAGAGATAGAGATCTCACTTCTAGGTCTAAATAGGGAAAAACATGACTTGACTTAACCCATTAAGCACTTCTCCTTGAAGGCTTACTAGATCCCCACTCCAAAACATTTATAGCTCCTTATAATCACATAAAAATCCATAATTTCCAGACATGCATGTTCAATGGATGTCTTAGACTCATATTAGGTCAAAATAGAGTAAAAGGGGCCAACATCTCATGCAAGAGTTCAAAACTCTATAAAGCTCCAGATCCAACACTCCTAACCACAAAAGGACACTGTGGATTCATAAAGTTGGCAACTTTATGAAATCCTAACACTCCAATTGATGGGTTTTGAGCATTCTAACACTCCTATGGTGTACATGCAACCCTAGAAACCCTGGATCTATGTTTTCTCTAATATTCATGCAAACTTGATTTTTCCAAGGTTTACATCCTAACTAGCATACAATGGGGAACTTGTAATATAAAAACTAGTAGAATGACTTACCTTTGTGTGTTGATGATTCCTTAAGACCTTGTGAGCCTAGCACCCCAAGTGTGATGCCTCAAATGTTTCACACAACACCAAAAATCTTGGAATAACTTGAGAGGAGAATACTTTGATCACAAAATCGGCTAGCCCTCACTCAATAGTCTTAGTTCCCATTTTGCTAGCTAATGAGGTCTTTATATAGTGTATCACATGTAGGGTTACTTAATGTAAACCCTAATGTGCATGGCTTTTCATATTTCATGATCCATGGGTTCATAACCTCCAGGGACCATCCATGGAGTACCCAATGGGTCCTAGCCCAATCTAGTGAATCATGGACCTTTAGCCCACTACATAAGAATAAAAGATTTACATAATCTATCCGCATATATTTAATTAGTCTCTATTTGATCACAAAACTTATTCCAAATTAATTCTTGATCAATAGTAATTAAATAATCATATTAATATATAAGAACTTATAATATATTAACAAACCATAAGTATTCTTTTCTCATTTGTCTATCCAATTGTTCTGATGCCATGGAATCCAAATGGACCATGCTAAACCGGGTCAAGTACCTACCCAATATAGTTATGGACTTAGACACTTTATCCAATAGTCTCCCACTTGGATAAGTCTAATAACTATAGTTACCGGTATGACTTCAGGAACCGATCAGCAATCGTAGCTCTTTCAAAGTCTCGCAGAATTGAGATGATGATGATACACCATTTAAGATAAGGGATCTTATAATCCTTTGTTCTAGATATCAGCTGGACAAATACATGGAACAATGTCGTACTTATTGTCCAGTAGTTTGTTTCCCGATTTCCGATTTGTTTGACATAGAACTTAATCGAACACATTAATTTAGTTCTGACTGGGCCTGGTACATAGGTCAAAAAAAATCATCAAGGGGCCCATATATCTCTTTTAATCCTCCAAGAACTAAAAGGAACATATAAACTTCTACTTATATGCTTGTTCTACTACTTGTTGAATCATAGACAAAAGCACGTTTTATAATATCGAGTTACCGATGCATTTTCATACGATCAATGCACAACAAACTCATAATCAACAACTCATATCTATAGGTTTGAAGACTTATATGATATTACCGTCTCACGATCACTCGAGATAAATTCCATGAAGTGATACAAGTGAGTGCGGGTTGAATCCAATACTCAGAACTTATAAGTGCTCATGAATGTTGTAGTAACTTTTACTATGTCTAACATTTTAGACATCTACAAGCCAACTTCATGACAGTCTTGATTCATATCTACTTCCAACATATGACCGACTGTGGAGAATTTAAATAAAGAAATTATTCTAGAAGTCAAAACATGCAAAATTGAAACAATAGTAAATAATTGACACAAGATAGCAACACTTTACTTATAAATAAAAAGCAACTTTTATTTAATCATCAAATGTTAATTTACATTTTACAAGTTTCAGAAATAAGCATCTAATCTGTAAAACTAATATCATCCTTCAGCCTGATGCGCCTCGCATGTTGCAAATGCTTAACCCTACACAGTCCCATCGTGAGGGGATCTTCTGGGTTCTCATATGATGATACCCTCTTAACCACGAGGAGTCATTCTTCTATTCGATGTCTAATAAAGGGATATTTTCTGTTGATGTTCCTGGATCTACCATGATCCCTTGGTTCCTTAGCTTAGGAAATTGCACCCTCATTGTCACAAAAAATCTCCATATACTCCTTAATAGCTGGTACAACTCCAAGGTCCCCATTGACTCTTTATCCATATAGCCTCCTTTGACGCCTCGCTTGCTGCTATATACTCTGATTAGCAAGTTGAATCAGCTACTGTTTCTTGCTTGTAACTTTTCCAAGTAATTGCTCCTCCATTTAGGGTAAAGACCCATCCCAAATGAGGGCGGCAACTATCCCTATTACTCTGGAATCCAGCATCACTATACCCCACTACTCTCAAGTCATCACTCCTACCAAAGGTAAGGACCCAGTCCCTAGTCCTCCGGATGTACTTGAGAATATTCTTCACCGCAGTTCAGTGAGCTTGCCCGGATTCCCTTGATATCTGCTAACCATGCTCAAAGCAAAGGCCACATCAGGGCGAGTACAAGTCATAGCATACATGATCGATCCTACAATGGAAACATATGGTACTCGACTCATCTCAGCTATCTCAGCCTTTGTACTCGGGATCTGAGTCTTACTCAGTTTGGTGTTACTCTGGATTGGTAAGTCACCTTTTTTGGAATCTTGCATGCTGAACCTTTTCTGCACCTTATCCAAGTAGGTACTTTGACTAAGTCTAATTAGTCTCTTACTCCTATCTCTTAATATCCTTATCCTATGATATAGGCAACTTCTCTAAGGTCCTTCATAGTGAAATACTTCCCAATCCATGATTTAACCTCCTATAAGGTTGGGATGTCATTTCCTATGAGTAGTATGTCATCCACATACAATACAAAAAGCTAACTATACTCCCACTAGCCTTAACATATATACAATACTCATCTTCACTCCTCGAAAATCAAACTTTTTGACTTTCTCATCGAAACAAAGATTCCATTTGCGAGTTGCTTGTTTTAATCCATAGATGGATTTCTCAAGCTTACACACTTTATTAGGGTGCTTTGTATCGACAAAACCCTCTAACTGACTCATGTAAACATCCTCAGCCAACTTCCCATTAAGGAAAGCGGTTTTGACACCATTTGCCATATTTTCATAATCATGAAATGCAGCTATGGCTAGAAAAACCCTAATAGACTTAATCTTCACTATTGGTGAGAAGATCTCATCATAGTCAAATCTCGGAGTTTGAGTAAAGCCCTTCACAACCAGTCGTGCTTTGTAAGTGTGTTCATTTCCATCCATGTCGGTCTTCTTCTTGAATATCCATTTGCACCCGACCGTCTTACGACCCGATACATTGTCAACCATGTTCCAAACTTGATTGTCATACATGGACTATATCTCGCTGTCTATGGCCTCTTTCCATTTGGTGGAATCGGGGCTGGCCATGGCTTCCTTAAAGTTGTTAGGCTCATCTAAATTTACCAGTGTACTATCACTGATAAATGCATCACCTTCCGCAGTAATATAAAAACCATAGTAATGCTCTGGTGGGTTCCTAACTCTTGTGGAACGCCTCCGAGGTATGGACTCATTAAATAGGGACCTGGTATGATGCTTAAATAGGGTGCAAACCCTAAAGATTAGGGTTTCCTCCTGACGGACCTACTCGTCGAGTCCAGGCTTACAACTCGTCGAGTAAACCACTTAAGACCCATGTCCAATCTGGCATCTACTCGACGAGTTAGGGTTACCAACTCGTTGAGTAGCTTTCACAAAATAACTACTTACATAAATTAAATGCGCACCAGGAACGGTACGTTACACTAATGGTTCACGCCCAAACTAAGCAAGATGCTCAGAGAGGAAAGAAAGGAAGGAGCTTGAGAATTTCGACTATCTCTAGAGGGGATAGAATGGCCAAAATCCCTAAGGGTATGGGGTTTATTTATAATGCAGATAGGATGCCTTGGATAACCCTAATTTGAATATAATATTAATATTTCAAACTAGGTAATTATCCACCTCCATAATTATCCACATGGGATAATCTAGAACCCTAAAAATACCCTCCAAAACCATCCACCACATTTGGGGAAGGTTCTGGAACCTCTTGCTCAACTATTAAACAATTGCACTTTAGCCCCATCACTTTTAATTAATTCAATTAATCCCTAAACTAATTCCAAATTAATTTCTGATTAATTATTAATTAAATAATATGATTTCTAATTAATATATTATTTTCACAATACATTAATAAATCAATTATCCCAATTTATTAATAAAATAATAAATTCAACCTCTCTCTCCAAAAGTCATCA